TGGCGGCTCCCCGCTTATGCTAATGAAGCCCGGGAAATTCAAATCCCAGGCTTCATTAGCAAGTGCGGTATGCATACATTACCCTCCTAGTTCGAACTAGGAGGGTAGTGTAGACATACCCTAACAGATGCCGTTCTCTCTTTCATTATTTTTCAACCCCATGCAACGTTGCTTAGTGTTGATGAATTGCATAGTAAATTGCTTCACTCACTTTGGTTTAATATCAAACATATTCAAAAGACCAAATAACCGATGCCAGTCAAGTATATTGCCACAAACCACTCTTATTATGGTACAGGACAAAGGGACTGGGAGACAAGAAATGGATGACTCAATGATCACCTGTTCCATTCATTCCACATGAAACACCTGCCATTGGCCACCGTTGGAAGACCAGAAACTAGGCTGGATGGACCCTTGATCTGAGTTGTATGTTCTAAATCTGAGAGGCTTGCTTTGCCTTAGGCATGCTTTGCTATAACCCAACCTGTCTGTGCTAAGTTTCCCCGGGGAGCTACCTGGAACTGGAAATGCACTGAGCCCTCTGACCCACCCGTCTTGCTCCCTGTAGCAAGCTGTAGACCACTCAAGATCTGACATGAACTCAAACATTCCCACCGACATAAACACACTGACCAGCCACTGCATGCACTGAGAATAAGAAGCTACCATGAAAAGAAACATCAGCTGTCAGCTAGATCCTCAGATCTGTACTGCCCCGCCCTGGTTGAAACACCAATCAGTATGAATGTGTAACCCGGTTTGCCTCTCCTACGATACGGAGAGTGATATGCACACTTGTTCAAGGCCTAGTCACCTGTTCAAGTTTTTTTTACAAAAAATAAGAGTTGAAATGCTTATAACAGAGCAAAGAGAGCAAAGCTGATTACCAACAACTAAACAAACAAACAAAAAAAGAAGCACAACATAATGGCGAGACTGAGTAGAAACGAGCAGTTTCTCACCCTGACTGATGATACCAGCCCTCTGGCAGATTCTCAAGGCAATAGCCACATTTGCTTTGCAGCTTTCATTTCTCAGGTTCAAATACATGGGCTAGAAATTACTTTAGCCTGGGTCCAGCACGTCCTCCAGTTCAGTCTTTGTTCCTTAGGTCTTACAAGGAGGCCTCGTGTGTGGGGAGTGGAGAGGAACAGGAGAGATCACTCCCTGCCTTATATAGCTGTAGTATAGGTGGGGGTGGGAACCTTTCATTTCAAATTTGTATTTTCAGAACTGTTTATGGAAAAACACAGACGTCCCAAAATGGAGTCCAGAATCATGCACTCTGGTAACCTGCAGAGTCCATAGCGACCAGGGGCATTCTCAGGAAGGCTCAGCAGGCAGGAAATAAGCTTCTGATTATTCCCAATG